ATTATTGGAATCCCTGAAGGGGATTCCAATAATTCTGATGTTGGAACATTTCATGGCATCATTTATTTCCCTGATTCTGTTTTCGTGGCTTCTAAGCTGTTTGTTCCAGGCTTCCTCTTGATCCTTTCTCTCTATCTGTTTGTCCTCCAGATCACTAATTCTATCTTCTGTCTCAGTTACCCTAGCTTTGAGAGAATTTAGATTAGATTGGAACTCATTGAGAGCATTGTGAACATCATCCCTTGTAGCTTTCAGCTCAGCCCTAACATTGTGAACATCAATTCTGGTCGCTTTCAGTTCAGCCCTAATCAATTCCGTTTGGTCATCCATGGCTTTCTCCAACCTAGCTATAGCCTGGATAATTGTTAGCCTGAATTCTCTTTCCAACATATTGTCTATGTTGATAGTCGTTAGCTCTGTTGCAGAAGGCCCATCCTCTGTATTTTTCTTCTGTTGGGCATTCCTCCTTCTAGTCATTTTGGTGAGAGATGGCTGAACGGATGTAGCTGGATGTATCGACCGTGGTGCAGTCAAGGTGCACCCTGGAACGCTTCTGAGTAATCAGGATTCCCCACCCAAATGAGAGAAAAACGAACAGAAGAAGAACAAAAGAGAGAGAGAGAGAGAGACAGGAAAGAAAGGGAAGATAAAAGAGAAGGTTCAGGCCAAATCGGTCCCAAGGTAAGGTTTATGAAGTATACAAACAAAAACAGACAAACAAAAAGACTGATAAAAGTATATGACAAGAGAATATATATATATATATATATATATATATATATATATATGCAAATAAAGGAAGAACCTCATCAAAAAGAACCCCAAGTGTAAGATTTATAAACTTTCAGGACAAACACAAAAACACAGAAACACTGGCAGAAGAAAAAGATGGGAGAGTGGTTAAAAATTATCAGTGTGGGCGAGGAAGGTTGTTTTGATTCTTCCTGGATGTATCTTGATATCTTTGTTAAAGGACTCAACTTTCCTAAGATAAAGGGGTATTAACAATTGGTTTACCTATAGGGGTAGCATTGATTGGGGAAAGGGGATTACCTTGAAGTTTAACTCTATATGAATATTAGAAAACAAAAGTAAAAAAGGAATAAACTAGATTAAACGAAATTAAAATTAAAAAAAAGAAATTTAAAAAATAGAAATGCAAAAGAAAAACAAAGGTGTATGTATCAAAAAGTTCAGGTTAGAAGGTTATTATGGAATTTGATGTACTGGACATCTCACTGTGATGGTAAATAGGTTAAAAAATTAACTATATTTAAAAAATGAGTCAGAATAGTGGGAACGAATTAAAAATAAAAGTTGTCCTACGAAGTAGTGGTGGTCTCTTTTAGTCTCTCTCTCTCTTTTTTTTTTTTTCTTTCCTGGTTGGTTTTCTGGGAGAGGGGCCTGCCACGTGGGTTTTCAGTCAATGATGTTCCCTTAGTTAAGTCCTCCCACCCCCCTCAAGGGGGTTGGCTCTGAGGAAACTGTTTTTTTCAGGCTTTTGTTCTCTGGCGGTTTTTATGTTTGTTCACTTTTTTTTCCCTCTCTCTCTCTCTCTCTCTCTCTCTCTCGCCTTGACCGCTTTTGATGGTTTTTGTAGGTTTAGAGGAAAGCAAACTGCACCCTGACCTCTGTCTCAGAGAGAAGACTGTCTGGCTGCAGAGCCCAAATAAATTCCCCCTTGGCCGCTGGCAGAGAAGGTTCCGATTCGCGGTCCCTGGGGATGCAGGATTTTTTGCTTGTACCCAAAACCACGGCAGCGGCGGCTGTCTGGGCAGCTCCAGACTGCCAGAGAGGTTCCAAGCAGCGATCGCACACTGAGATTTTCCCGCTGGCCCGGGCTGGGAGTGCCTGGTCTTTCTGGGTCTAAGAGCTCTGGACTTGTGTGTACCTCTCTCAGGGGAGGGCGCTGGGTGAGACTCAGACTCTGATAGCATGGCACAACACTCGCGTGGGGACTGCAAAAGGGCTCTGCTTCTGCCGGCTGGTGAGGCTCCCAGCCCTTCACGGGAGCCAGACCCCACGCGCTCTCAGGGAGAGCGGACCCCACGCGCTGGTGGCTCAGGGACCAAGACCTGGTTTCTCTGCCGCACTCTTTCTGGCTCTGCGCCAGGGGTGGCTGTCCTGGGTCTGGGGACTTAAGCCCCTGTCCCTAGCCGCCCCGATTCCCAAAATCCGCCCCCACCCCCGCGATCCTTTGCTCTTTTATTTTTTTATTTTTTTTAAATTTATTTTCAGCATAACAGTATTCATTGTTTTTGTACCACACCCAGTGCTCCGTGCAGTCCGTGCCCTCTCTAATACCCACCACCTGGTTCCCCCAACCTCCCACCTGGTTGGTTCCCCCAACCTCCCACCTCTTCAAACCCTTCAGATTGTTTTTCTGATTGCTTTCTACCAGACTTCAAGTTAATCCTGGTCCCCAGACGCAGGGCACTCTCGTATTGGGATATTAATTTCCAATGGGTCATTTCTGGTGGCTCCCTCCCCCTTTTGTTTATCTTCCAATATCAGTCCGACGTTCCCACTCTGCTTTACCTGCCCACTGGCATCTTTTGCTCCTGTAGAGATCCAGACATGTATAATTCTGATCTCAGGCTGATTTCCTGGGTGATCGGAGTTCTTTGGAAGGTAATCAGCTCACTTTAGGGTACAGGTTGAAAAGGTGCCCCCTCCTACTTCCCCACCATCTTGTCCCCCACTTAGCAATCTGTTTCATTTTTTAAACTATTTGCCATCACAGTGAGATGTCCAGTACATCAAATTCCATAATAACCTTTTAATCTGAACTTTTTTTTTTCAGCATAATAGTATTCCTTGTTTTTGCACCACACCCAGTGCTCCATGCAATCCGTGCCCTCCCTAATACCCACCACCTGGTTCCCCCAACCTCCCCCCCCCCGCCCCGCTGCCGCTTCAAACCCCTCAGATTGTTTTTCAGAGTCCATAGTCTCTCATGGTTCACCTCCCCTTCCAATTTCCCCCAACTCCCTTCTCCTCTCTAACTCCCCTTGTCCTCCAAGCTATTTGCTATGCTCCACAAATAAGTGAAACCATATGATAATTGACTCTCTCTGCTTGACTTATTTCACTCAGCATAATCTCTTCCAGTTCCGTCCATGTTGCTACAAAAGTTGGGTATTCATCCAATCTGAACTTTTTGGTACAGAAGTGTATAATCCCACATCTCAGGCTGATTTCATGTATGTTCAGAGTGATCTGGTAGATAATCAGCTCACTTTAGGGGACCAGTTGAAACAGGGTCTCATACTTCTCCACCATCTTGTCCCCCTCCTGGATGTAGCTTTAGGTTCAAAATGATTCTCTTGTAAACAGCTTATGGGTAGATCCTGTCTTTTTATCCCATCTGCAACCTTGTGCCATTTCATTGGAGCATTTAGGCCATTCTCATTGAGGGCGATTATTGAAAGATATGATTTTATTGCCATCATGTTGCCTGTGAAGTCCTTCTTTCTATAGACTGTCGCTGTAAATTTCTGGTCTATATTACTCTTGGAGTTTTTCTTTTTTTATAGAACCCCCTTAATATTTTTTGCAGGGCTGGCTTGGTGGTCACATATTCTTTTAGTTTCTGCCAGTCTTGGAAGTTCCTTATCTCTCTAGCCATTTTGAATGACAACCTTGCTAGATAAAGTATCCTTGACTGCATGTTCTTCTCATTTAGTATCCTGAATGTGTCTTTCCAGCTGTTTCTGGCTTGCCAGGTCTCTGTGGACAGCTGTGACATTATTCTTATATCCCTCCCTCTGTGTATAAGCCGGGGATCTTTTGCCCTCTTCTCACGCACAATGCCAAAAATACACAATAACAATGACCATGGTGGCTTTCACTTTCCCGTCTTAGAAATGGCTCTGTTTCTCAGAAAAGGAGCCCTCAGAACTTAAGTTTCATTTCCTGTTCCTGGAAATGCAGAGCTCTACACTGGTAGCTGCTTCTCAACTACTGGCCAGATTCCGTTAAAGGTGGAGCAGTGGACAGAGATTATTTAAATCCTGCCTGTTCCTCACAAGCATTGCACATATTTAATCACTGCAGTGACCACAGCAGCACACAGGACCTGTTCCAGTGCAGGGAGTGTTTCTGTTGTGGGCTACAGGGAGCACTTCAACCAGGCTCAGCATTTCCTGTGCTGTCAGGGGACACATTCAGAGCTCAACTCTGACACCAGAAGTCTCCTCCAGGACCTGGTAAGCAAGAAACCACTGTGGATTGAGTACAGATTAAAAAATAGAATTACAGATCTATAGGTCTGAGGTTGGGAGAGTCTGCATACTTGACTTGGAGTTCTGTGGACGTGGAAGCCTGAGGGGCAGGATGTTTGGTAGATGGCTGTAAGTCAGAGTTTTTAACTATTTGGGATATTTTCAGAGGGTGATTGGAGAACAAACCTTATTCCTGTGAACTGCAGAAGGAGCATGTGAATGTCTGGGGTGTCAATGGGAAGGGCTTTTCCCTCAAGAACTCCTGGATCAGACATCCCCCATCTCATCCCTAAATGCTTTCCCTGGGGAGACAATGCATGCATTATCAGTTAAAACAAAATTCAAGTGAATAAATTTTAAAGAGCTTTTGGATTTATTAAATGATGCATGAATCTAACAAATAAGAAGGCGTTTCACTGAGCTGTAGGAATGGAAATGTTTTTAAAGGAAAAGAAGAAGGGAAAAAGAAAGAAATTATTGACTAAGAATCACTTTTTTTAGTCAAGATTGCTCTCCTAAGGGGAAGGGAAAGGGTCTATCAGCAAGTTTCCCATGGTTAATCAGGAAATTCGTACACTGACTGGTTAAATTATACATGCCCAGGGGAATGAAACTGTAGTTAGGTTAGGTATTTGGCCTTGGTTTAATGAGTCCAGGCCTTAACTTAAGTGGCTTCAATGGCCCTGTGACTATGTGGCCCCTCTGGAACTTCTTTTTCACAATTTCCCTACTGTGATCAGATGCTCAGCTTAACTTAGAGATTGGTGCCAACTTGAGCTACTGTTCATTTGTTCTCACAGCTGTTGATTCTCTCCATGGTATTCACATGTCATGATGTTTTCCCTCAATCTCCACAATATTCACTGGTGATGACTTTCAGGTTCAGTTTTGGTGTCAGCAATCCCCTACATTTATTTTCTGAAGTTCCAGTCTCAGGGAGATTATTTGCTTGGTGGTTAGCATGTCTGAACATGCATTTTAAAATTTTGAAGAACACAAAGGATACCTGGCAGATTATTATTATTTTTATAAACAGATAGTTTTCAAAGGTTGGAGTGCACTTTGAAGCCATGGTACCCAGGACCCAAACACTCAAAACTGAATAAGTCAAAGAAAGACCCCACTGAAGAATCATCTTTTTAGGCTAAGTGGCTTGTTCAGTGCTCATATGTAGTTGTGTTTCAATTTCCCCAAAAGTGTTAATCTGGATGTAGCTGGTGTATACTGGTAGTCACAGTATAGACAACTCTTGCTCAGGTAAAAGATAATCAGAGTCTGTCTTATTGTCAAGAAAATCTTTGGCTAGAGAGTCTAAGGATCTTTGTTGGGTAGCTATGCTCTTAGTAATGGATTCTGTATTATATTTAGGAGTTAAGGACAGGTTCCTAACCAAATTGTCCTGTAAATTTAATTGTTAACCAGGAAGCTTAACTCTGTCAAGGGTAACAATTCCTGGATCATGAATGTGTCCTGGTTAGTCTTTTTTAACTCAGTGATGTAAATCCAAGGGAGCCAACCAATGTGATGTCATATTTCACTTGAGAAAATTTAGGGACATGATTAGATTTTCTCTTAGCCTGAAATAAAAGGCTGTTTTACATTCTTGAGTTTATTCCCCCTTCTGAGCAACTGGCTCAGACATATAGCTGAAGGAATTATTTTTCCAAGACTATGCCAGAATAAAGGAAAGGAGAAAAAGGAGAAAGGGCTACACATTTAGTTAAAATATGAGGACTTGATCTGTTGTCTCAGATGAAGGCAGTCTACTTCAATATTGGCTACTATCTTCCTCATCAGTTTGATTTAGAGGTCCCTAGCATCTGTGAAGGACTAGATGTCAAGTAAGGCCTTCTTTAGCTGTGAAATGCATACCCATGATTCAACACCTTCTAGTTTTGTAGTAATTTCAGTGGTTGGGAGCACTTGGTAAGATCCCTTTTGATCAAGTTCAAAAGCTGTATTTTTCTGATGACAATTCCAGAATACCCAGTCACCAGGCTCTAGACAATGACCAACAGTATGCTTTGAATTGAGATCTTGGAAGACATCTTTAACCTATTGATGACAGGCTAGATGGTAAAACACTAAATATTTTGCCATAGTTGGTCATACTAGCACGAGACAACAAGGGATCTCCAGAAAATTGTGTACCAGTAGACATTGGTCTGCCAGTGACTATGTTGTGTGAGGTGAGTTTACATTGTCCAAAGAGGGTACTTCAAACAGTCAGCAAGTCCAAAGGCAATACCTTAGGGCAGGGATGTCTGGTATCTTTTGCTAGTTTAAAAATTTTAAGTTTGAGGATCCCATTAGCTCTCACAACCTTGCCTGACGATTGAGGGTGATAGGGCCAGTGATGATTCCAAGAAGTGTGCAAGGTTTTTGTTAAAGGTGGTAAAATTTGTCCAATGAAATGGCTGCCTCAATCACTAGAGATTATGGAAGGTATACCCATCTGGGAAATACGTTCTCTATCAGTTTCTGTGCCACTGTGCCATCAGCTTTGTAGCACGGGAAATTTTCAACCTAACTGAAAAATACACATGTGATAACAAGAACGTATTGATAACCTGAACTAGGTGACAATTGGATAAAGAAGAGCTTCAGGTGTTCAAAAATACCAAGAGAGGAGGTATGAGCCTTCTGGGTTTTCAGTGAAACTGATAGGCAGCAATAAATACAGATGGAAATGCGTTTACTTTACACCCAATAAAACACAATTCCTGACTTGGGATTATATTATAAAGCTGCAATGATCAAGATAATTCAATATTTATGGCACTCTCCTTAGATAAATTGTTCAAGCCATATTGTACTGCACAGTAACAGTGAAGGATGTAGATAATGGGGGCTGAAGGGACAGGGCCAGCTTTGTTATGTTGTCGAGTGATTGACTGACCTTATAAGAGCAAGGGAGTTAGAAGGACTGGGGAACAGGGTGTCAGGGGCATTATCAGATTTGTTAACCCAAACCTGGATGTCAGATCCACACCCAACTCCCTGCAAAGGCATTTAGATGACAAACAACAAGGCTCTGCAAAAATGTTTGATACTTTGTCAAAAATTTAAATAGGAAATGAGGAAATCCTACCATCTATAACAGGGTGTACCATGAAAGCATTATGTTAAGTAAAATAAATCAGACAGACAAATACTGCATGATCTAACTGATGTGTGGAATCTAAAAATAATAAAATAAAATAAGTTCATAGAAAAAAAGACCAGACTTGTGGAGAGGTGGAAGCACAAGGTAAGAAGGAGGAAATTGGAGGAGGTGACCAAAGATACAAGATTTCAGTTATAAGAGAAGTACTAGGGAGGTAATATATAACCTGATGACTATTGATAATGTCTCCATATGATTTATCAGAACATTTTTAAGGCAATATATCTTAAGAGCTCTCATCACAAGAAGAACTGTTCTCTTTTTTCTTCTTCTTTTCCTCTTATTGAGATGATGGGTGTTAGCTGAACCTATTGTTGTAATTGCACAGTATACTTCACAGTATATGTAAATCAAATCATCATGCTATATGCCCTAAACTCATACAGTGATGTATACCCATTGTTCTTCAATAAAACTAATAAAACAATTTAAACAGAGTTACCCAATGAGCCAGCAATTCCATTGCTAGTTATATACCTAAGAGTGGTGAAAACATACATCTAGGTAAAACCTGCATGCAAATGTTCATAGCAGCGTTATTACAACAACCCCTCAGATGGAACTAACGCAGTTGTCCACCCACTGTTCAATAGATAAAGAAAAGTGTTCTATCCATACAAGAGATCATTATTGGGCAAGGTAAAAAGATAAAGTACTGATACCTGCCACAACATGGATGAACCCCAAAACATTATGCTCAGTGAAAGTAGACAGCCCATTGGACTCTGCATTCTGTGATTCCATTCATATGAAATGTCCAGAAAAGGCAAATCCTTGGGCACGAGAAATATATTGCAGGTTTCCTAGATCTGAGGAGCAAATGGTATGAGGGAAAGAGAGATGGCAGTCAAGAGGTACAACATATCTTTTGAAGCACTCGGTGTTATACACAAACAATGAGTCATGGAACACCATATCAAAAACTAATGATGTACTGTATGGTGACTAACATAACACAATTTTTAAAAGGATATCTTTTGCATAAGGAAAATATTCTAAATTTGATTATGATGGGTGTACAACTTTGTGAATATATTCAAAGCTACTGAAAACTTTAAAGGCATGAATCATAGAATGTGTAAATTATATTTCAATAGTCATTGAAAAGAAAACCAGTAGAGGTGCTCATTTAGGAGATGTGCACATGCTAGGGGCTCAGAGGAGACCACTGAGAAATGCTCTGCAGCTGTTTTGCCAGTAGTCAGCTCCTAAGAAGGTTATAGACAGAGGGGACTTGAACTAAAGAGCATCATGAGGGTCATTCAGTCAGGAGCCAGGCAGGTATAGATACTCCTCCGCCCAGACTGCATGAGCAGGATGTCGATTTAGGGAAGTCTGTAGGGTAGAAGTAAGCGTTTGCCAACTTTCCATACCCCTCAATCCTGAGGACCCACATATCCTCACTGCATATGTCTTCAAACACAAGAATAATTGTTATTTTTAACAACAGTGAAAATTGCATGTTCTAATGCATGAGGGCTTCCTTCCAGATCTATCAGTGGGGTCTCCTGATGCTGCTGGAGATGGTGCTCACATCCAACTCCTCAGATTTCTGCCTCAGAAGGACCACAGTCCAGTGGTGCAGCTTCTTGATCATCTCCACCTACCCCTGCCTGCTTGTCTTTCCACACAGCTGGGTCCTGATTGTGTCACTGTCCCCCAGACTCTGATGCTTTCATCCAACATGAGCCCTGAATTCACACACAATGAGGAAACTGCCAAGACTCCCAACTGAGTTTGCAGACAACTCAGCCCCAGGGCACTGTGAACATTTTCACATTGGAAATTGAGTCCCAGTGTTTTATCCTGTGAAGCAGGG